CAAGACGCCAAATGCTTGCAGGAAACGTCACGAGAGGCTGATGGAGCGTCGCAACGCCGAGGACTTTGATGGCTTCAAGCTTGAACTGCTTGCTCAAGAGTATATGAACGTCCGCAAGGAGATGTGGAGCCTCCTCGCAGAACGAGTAGGGGAGAAATGGGCAGTGGTCGAGGCAAAGGTAAGTACAAAAGAATGACGTCGTCTTGAGCAATTGGAAGCTAATGAATGGGATCTAGTGCATGGAACGTGGTCTCAAGAACCTACAGGCAGCACACCGAGCAGCACAGCGGAAGGAACGAGGTAACTACGAAGGCGAAGACAGCGGCATCGGAGGCTCGGAAGCTGAGAGCGAGGCAGAGGAATGTGGCCCGCCGGTCGATGCTGGTTCGCATCGAGCCGGGCCCTCCAACCAAGCCCGGAATCAGAATCAAAATCAAAATCAAAACCAGAGCTCGAAATCGAGATCCGACACCGTCAAGGCGCAGCGGGGACTTCCTTCGATTCAGTCGATGCTCTCACCGGAGCCACCGCAGGGCAAGCAGGGGTGAAATGGGCGGTCAATTGTTCGTTTGGCGTCATTGGGGATTCGGCGTTGGTATTGTTTTTGGGAGGTTGGCAATCTGGAGGTGTTGATGGACGGCGGTTAACAGGAGGGCTCTGATTGGCTGGTGGTTTTATACTCCTGAAATGCACCGGGAACCACATGCCAAGCAAGCTTGCGTGTACTGAGCAAGTGCCAAGGACCTGAGCCCCGTAGCTTTGCAATGTTCAATTTCTGGCTTACGAATGGCGACCGACTGGCTGGCTGGGTGCGAAAAGGCGTGAAGGGGAGGGAGAGCCTGGCGCTGGTGGGGATGACGGAGCGCAAAGCCATGTCATCATCAGGTTCGCCATTTCGGCGCGCAGTGGATTCCTCGCCGACTCACCTCAATCCTGCTCCAGCACCGCAGAGCCTCAACTTCTTGCTGCTTGGTATTCGAGAAAGGCCTGCCCAAGCGCTTCATCTCGACCTCTTTGTTTCCTTATGCTTGTGCGCGGTGCCCCGAGCCATGGCGCGTCAACCTGTCCGTGTTACGCGTTCCGTGCGGGTACGCGGGTGATGGGCGCCGGAGTTCATCAAGGGCCACGTCTATCCTCCTCCGTTTTACGTCTCAGGCTTTCGCACTCAAGATACCACGGTCCGCGCAATTCGTCCTCCTCGACAGCGACAAAGTCGCTTGCTTCGTCCACTCTTGCATCGCCCGCCGCTCGCTCTGTCGTGCTTCCCACGGCCCCGTCCGCCCTGCCGCCGCTTCTTCAAAACACTTCTCTGACCATTTACGCTTCCCGCCGGCACAACCTCATCGTCCCAAACCCAACCATGACAGCCACCCAGACCCGCGGTCATGCGGGTCACAGTCACGGCCATCACCATCACACCGATCCGTCGCTGTTGCTCAGCAGTGACAAGAAGGACGCCGCCGTGCGCATCACGCGCCTAGGACTCTTTCTCAATATCGTCCTGGCTATAGGGAAGGGAGTGGCTGGCTACTACTGGAATAGCAAAAGTGCGTCTCCTCGATCAACCCACCTCATGGACTAGCGCTTCCGTTAGTCTATGCGGCTACTGCTACAGGGTCGCGAGAGACGTGGGTGAAAGAACAGGACAGTCGCTAATGCAGGCAAAAATAGTGCTCATCGGAGATGCTTTCCACTCTCTCTCGGACATGATGTCGGATATCATGACCTTGATCACGGTCAAATGGTCCCTCAAACCACCCTCGGAACGATATCCCACAGGGTTTGGCAAGATTGAGAGCTTGGGCAGCTTGGGCGTATCCTCGTTGCTGCTCATGGGCGGTCTGGGAATCGGATGGTCTGCGGTGCTCACTCTGAGCCAGCAGTTTGCTCCGGAATTGGCCGACGTGCTGTCCCACTTTGACTTCCTGGGACTAGGACATGGCCACGGCCACGACCATGGGGGTCACAGTCACAGCGCAAGCCACATGGCAGCAGAGGCCCCGAGCTTGAATGCCGCGTGGTTATTGTTTGCATCTGCCGCCGTCAAGGAGTGGCTAGTATATGCAAGTAAGTCGTTGACCGGGACACCAGATCTCGAAATCGCAAAACTCGAGATAATCTTGCATTCCCCCACGGCGCGCTAACATCCACACCCTCCCCACAGCCCGCAAAGTTGCCCGGGAGCGCAAGTCGTCCGTCCTCGATAGCAATGCCATGCACCACCGCGTCGACAGCTACACGGCCATCTTGACCGCCTGCATAATCCTCGCCTCCAACTTTGCGACCAACGCCGCCTGGCTGGACCCTGTCGGCTCCCTCATCATTACCGGCATGGTCGTCAAAGCCGGCTACCAAAACTTCTTCCAGGCCATGCGCGAGCTGGTCGACGTGACGGTAGACGAAGACATCAAGGACAGCGTGCGCCGCGCCACCACCAAGGCCCTCACCGATGCCGGTCTCTTCACCGGTGCCGCCGAGGTCGACAGCACCCAGCATGTACAAATTCGCCACGTGCAGGGCGTCAAGAGCGGGCCCAACTACCTTATGGAGGTCGACTTGTCAGTACCCGGTCACTGGAGCGTGAAGCAGTCGGCGGGCGTTGAGGAGCTGGTGCGCGAGTGCGTCGGTCTCCGCTGCCGCGGCGTCAAGCGCGTCAAGGTCCGCTTCGTGCCCGCCGACCGCCCCAGTGATGGACCCGAGTTTTTGGACGAATTCATCGCTGCTGATGTTAGCGGTAGGAGTACGCCGGAGCATGACCACGAGCACGACCATGGCCATGATCATGGCCAAGATGCGAAGAAGAAGCGGTGATTTGTTTTTGTTTCATTTGTGCCTTCTGTTTCGGGATCGTATAGAGTAGCGACGAAGAGATTCCATTGAGAATAGGGGAAGAAAAAGAGCTGGAGTAGGGGCAACTCGCGGCCCCAAAGACTGCCTGCCCATCCCCCTTGGTCATGGGTTGACCGCTTAAAGAGAGAGACGATGGTTCGGCGCACTTTTTTCCTTTGGGCTCGGTCTGCGGCGGTGTACGCATGTTCGTGTGGCTGTGGTCAGTCAGTCCGGCCGATTGACAAAGTGGCGGTGTCTGTATCCATTTTGTACGCTGCGCGGCGCTATACCCATTGGATGAGATGAGTGTGCACTATTGGCATGGACACAAAATTTCTACTCTCTGTTCTGTTCTATCTCCCTTGTCTTTTTTTCCTACGTGTCGTACCGACCTACGCCGGCTTTTTTGCTGAAGCGGTTGCGTGGTGGTAGCAGGCATCATTTTTTTGGTTTCGTGCAAGAGTTTTTGAAGTGCGCTTGGTTCTGATCAGACAATTGGATTACTGTGGAGTCGAGGAGCTTAAGGCCCTTGGTCAAGAAAAAAATGGTCCTCCTTTCCTTTGCCCATTTGCCAGTGCTCTGGACTCCGAAGCTGGCCACTCAAGAAGGACGCCCGTCGGCAGTCTTTACCTGATAAGCAAACCTTGGACTCCATTTTTCTTGGCCCTGGGACAGACGGATCTCTTTTCCGTTTGAATAAATCGTTCTGCTTTGTATCTCTGGACGGTAATCCTGTCCAAGTTTTCGAATCATTACCTAGTGTATCTTTCCCATGAAAACTTCATTTTACCTGTTCTCAGTAAGTCAAGTAAAAAGACCCTTTCCTACCTTGACGATCGATAATTCTAAGCACGTCCATGATTCTTTTGGCTTTTAATCCTTATTCCTGAGACATGGATCTTTCTCTGCGGACGTGCGATGCCGAAACAGGGTTGACTGGAGCCTGAGCATCAGATGGACTTTCAAGGACTCCGTGTCCATGATGTGCAAGCCGTCTGAGAGCTGACGCAAAAGATGCGAGTAAGGTGGATCTTACGTAACGTTAAGCTTGTTGGTTTAGGTTGCTTGAGTTTCTCTTATCGCGAACGCCGTTCGGAAAAGCCGTAAAGGTCTCGCAACTCTCTTTTTGTCATTCGGTATTGTCGCTTCTCAGCGTTGCTTCTATTTATACCAATCCACTTCGCTGATGTCATCCTTGAATGATGCTGAGTGGCATGAGATCTCGGGACAGAATTTGGAAAATGCACAGTACTCTCTGAAAAATAGAAATACTCGTACGCCACCCAAAGAAGAACACCAGCAGATACTCAGCAGCGAGACACAGCAGTTTCAGGGTACTCCAGGAGTCCTTTGTGTCACGCCTACTTTTCACCTCTTTTCCATGGATGAAACGAGAAGTGTTCTCGCGAACTCAACACACTCGCATGTGAGTGTCTATCAAAAAGTCTCGGGATTAGTTTCGAAATTACAGAAACTCCGATAAGCCTTCTTGGGCCGTTTGCCATATTAAGTAATATAGCTGCGTTAGACTTTGGCCCTCGTTCCTGCCCTGGAGTATGATTTGTGCTTACTTTCTTATGTACATAACTTGGGAGGTCCGACAACAAACTTGTCTAAGAGGTCTTGGAAAGAAGTCGGAATTAGGTTGAAAATATTGGAGGCAAATGAAGACGATCATCCGACTTCGAAAGTTACTTTCTTGAGCCTCTAACTTTCAAAGGCCGAGGGACACGTTCTTGGAATCGCATCGCACCTCGCCAGTAATCCTGTCCGTGTTGCTCAACTTCAATATTGCTGGCCGCGCTCTCGCCTGCAAAAATGAAGAATTGACTGTTTGCACTCTTGCAAGAGGTGGTGCAGTTTTATACTGAAGTGTCGAAGAGCGAGAATATTTAAAGAGGATTTCATGCGCTTCATGAACAAGTCAAGTCTAGGGGAAAAAGTCCATTTGAATCCTCAAGTGTCTGCCTGTCATCACAAGAATCGCAAGAAGGACCGAGCGCGCGAAGCGTGAGAAGTACGCCCCTGAGTCGCGCCTCCAACGTCAAACCCATTTCTTGGTCAGAAGAAAGAAACATTACGTTACGACACCAATCTCAGGGCAAAAGGATTCCTGCTAATGTAAACATCTGCGACCGCTTCCACAATATACAGTGACAATGGCGCGAAACGGGTTGGTGGTGTAGTGGTAACGCATGCCCGCGGCACACGTCGCTCCGCCGGCAAGTCCCAGGTTCAAGTCCTGGCCGACCTAGAAGCCCATTTTGCTTGCTCTTTTCTTTTGCACTCCATTCTTTCTTGTCTGCCGATTATTCGCCTGCGGCATTTTATCCTTTGCGAGGGTTTGTTGGTAGGGTGGATCTGTGCGCTTTTGGGGGGTTCCTGGTTATAGTTGACCGAGTTGGAGTCGCGTTTTGACTTGAAGGGAGAACTAAGCACAGCTTAAGGGGTTGCGAGGGGATGCCATCGAGGTCCTTTGTGTTCAGCCTCTTTGTCTTCAGGACGTGATTGCAGAAAGTTGCGAATTCTCCATGCTGAGTGTCAGTGTTATCAAATGATGCTGCTCGTCTTCGAATGGATTCAACAATGCCAACAATTTCTCTGAAACGAACCTTCCTTGAAGGCAATGAAGGTAGACCGCAGCGCCGACAAAAGTGTGACTGACTTAGCACTGAGCATTCCTGACAAACCAGACAAGTGCGCATGTGCATAGTTATACGGTGGAATTTGGACGATGCCAAAGCCTACCTGTGCTTTGCTCGCAGCTTGACGGCGAACAGACTCAGGAGGGCGAAGATGGCGTTTTATATACCCCTCTTCTGTACTCCGTGCTTAAGCGCATGGGTCAAGGCAAAGGTCATGCGTTGGATGACGTTGAACGGGCCAGGTATCGTGACTCCAGTTGGGTACCTCACATGTATTCACGTGTGTCTTGTTGAAAGATAAGGGACTGTGGTCTTGCTGCGGTACTGGACGACTGCCCCTTAAGCATGGCTATGCTCGCAGATGAATGCTCCCTGAGTGTAGCTGTGATGGCAGACGACTACTCCCTGAGTGCAACTGTAATAACATATGACTGCTCCCAAGGCGCAACTGTAGCATTAAATCAAAGCTCTCTCCATGCAGCCGCAGTATTAGAAATTTTCAATTCTTTCGACAGCGATTGTGGTAGGTCTCCAAGCAGGCATAGGTCGAGGAACCTGGTGTGGAGGTAGAATATCTACCAAAATTTGCGGCTGTGGGTAATCGATGGAAGCACTGACAAAATGTTGTCAGATTTTTCGCGTTCGTTGAGGGGTAAATTTTCTTTCTATTCGCCGCAGTTGAGCTTCTGACGCCCGGGCAGCATCAACAGGAGCTGAAATCCGTCATAACTACATCAGGATGGCACCTACGCATTCGAAGCACTACAAAACCATTCAAGGATGAGGAGAAAATCTGAAACTCACAAGTGCCTCACTGAAAAGTCTCCTCTGACCCAAGCAGAAAAGTCGCCATCAACTATGAAATCTGCCTGTCAGGCAAGCAATAAAGCAGGTCGAGGCATCTCAACAACCACCCTACGACAATCCACACATCTTCCCGCAGAAATTCACCCAGAACCTCGCAATGTCGCTGTCGTTGTAACTTGCCGCTGTCAATATTGCGCCGTGCAACGGCCAAAGCATCACGACGCGCATGCATGCAGCCCCTGGTGCATGCGTAGACACGCAACAATGGTGCACGGCAGGCGCGAGCAGATGGATCAGGAGATATTCTGGACGACACACACGCACAAGCCAGAAGTTTGTGCATGCGCTGTGGTTTTGCTAGGCAGTGGCGATGAATGGCGGAGGCTGGGCTGGGCGGGGCTGAGTGCAGCACGACAAGACGTTGCCATTGTCGGTATTGGTAGGTTGTAGCGATCGAGATGACGTCTGTCATAGGATGTAGGCATTCAGACAGGCAGGAAGCTTTCAGGTGCTTTTCACAGCTTTTCAACTCGATCGATTCGGTACTTGGGTCAAGCAGGTAGACAAGCGAGAGCGAAACTACCCAAACCATACCAGGTGCCCGCACACCAGGCGTAGTCAGGAGCTTCCTCCAACCGACCCAATCCCATCTCCGCCCAAGTCTTTCCAGACTCTGAATTATTCCCTGAATGCCGTTCCATCCATCCAGAGAAGCAGCCCTCGATGCCAAGACGGAGATACGTACACAAGAGTCCGTGATTCCCTCCATAGCTAACCAGTTCAGTTCGCTCGCTGGTTCGAAAAGGAAAAAAACGAGACAAAACAGACGAAAAGAAAGCGCGGCAACACCAGGCTCCGTGTCAAGCCGCAGAAGATGACGCCCAGGACGCAATGACAGCCCATCGCGCCGCCACCGCATGTTCGTCCCCAAAAGCGGCATCGCATCGCATCCACCGAAGGGGTCCGATACTGCGCACTCTAATGCTCGATCTGATGGCTCCAAAGTCTTTCTTGAGAAAGTGGGAGAGCAGAGAGAAGAGAAACAAGATGGCTAAAGACCAAATCAACGCGTCGCTAGTCCAATCGCCATTGACATGCCGCAGGAGAGATTCAGCCGCCAAGAGTAGAAGTCCTTGACGTTTTTGAATGAAGAGTGGAACAAAGCGGAACAAAAAAATAAGGAAGAAGCAGAAAAATAAAAGGTGTCCCAGAGAAAGTTGGTTGAGACTCCATGGGTCGCCATTGAGTGACCTGGTTGATGGCCTCGGCAAAAGGAGCTGTACATTGGGCCGGAAGCTTTCGAGTCCAGACAAGTTGTTCGGACGGCTGAAGCAGATCAAACGAGACACTACGATATGCGGTGGACGTTGGCTCAATCCGCTCGAAATCGGTGTAACGAAAAAAGTGAGGCCTATTTTTTGCTCCGTCGGCGACACCATCAATCACCCACGAAGCGACGGATGCAGGCTCAACCCGTCCACCAGCTGATGTACAAGCCTGAAAGGTTCAAAGTCTCTGCCTGGAAGTCCATGCTTTCCACTGCACTTTGTTCTGTTTAAAGGTGCCAAAACCTTGGTGTTTGATGTAATCGTCCATGTAGTGCCAGTACTTTCTTTGCCGACCGTGTGATGGTTGTCGTCATCCTTCACCAAGGGTGTAGAGTTGACCAACTGGAGCAGCAGAGAGGTCGAGATGTTGTTCATGAAAGCCGCTATTCCCACGGCTGATGCTCGCTCTACTCTGGTTGGCTGGGATCGAAGACCCTTTGCATCTCTTCAATGTCCTTGATTGTGTCATTGAAAGCCACCATTGCGCTCTGCAGAACAATGTTGCGGTTCCATTCGCCGCGAATGTTCCAGATGGCCTGCATGATAGCACTGTTGACTTGCTCCAGCTGCTCAACAGACAGACCTGAGCTACGGCGGGAGAGCTCATCGTGCAGCGTGATGAGCTGGTCCTCGTCGAGGATGAGCTTCGGCGAAGGTTGCTCCTGCGACTCGCTGTTGTTGAGCAAGCTTGAAATGGCCGTTTGCGGACGTGATTGAGGTATTGAGGGGGTGGCGAAGTGCGTCTGAGACGACTGAGAAGGCTGCGAGCCCGTGGGCTGGCTGCTGGCAAAGGCTTCTTGGGTGTCGGGGATTTCGGATCCACCAGACTGAGCAGGTCCCGAAGCAAAGTCGGGATGTGCTCCAGAGCCAACACCATTGGTGCTCTGAGTATTGGTAAATGGCGCCGACGAGCGATGAGAGCGATCCGAAGTCTTTTGACCGGATGTTGTTGTTGATGCGCTATTCTGATAATCGCCGGGGTGTGTGCCTGCTACCATTTGGGTGTGACCAGAACGCTGGGAGCGGTTGAAGCCTTGGCTGCCTTGAGTACCCTGAGTACCCTGGATATCCGGGCCGCTGTGCTCATCGAGACGCAGTCGCTTGTCGCGATGTTGCTCCATTATCGAGGAGTCTTGTTCTTGACTATCCTCGCCACGAGTCTCGTCAGTGCCGCCGCCGGTGCCGTTGCTTTCGCGCTGTCGGTCTTCAACAGTGACACCATTGGATAGCGGGCTCGGGCCGATGCGACGCGTAGGCGTTACAGGTAGCCGTTGCTGTCCAGGGACATGCTCCCCAAGCACGATGGGACCAGTGCTCTCAGTCTCTGGCTGCGAAGGCCCATGGGCAGGAGGCACATTGGCCCGAACTTCGGCGACCTCTTGGCCGTTGGCTCCCGCGGCTCTGGCCTTCTCTTGAAGCTTCTTGAGGCGTTCCTGCTCTCTCTGGTAGACCTGTTCACAGGCAGCCCACAATTCTGGGTCTGCATACTCGAGCTTGGATATGTCGACTTCCACATTGGTCAGGATCTCGTTCGCCTTGAGGACCCTCTCAACGTCGCCCAAGTTCTTTGCATCCCTGGCAAGCTTGTGAATGTCGTCCAGGAAGTCTCTGGGCCTCTTGTAGTACCCGTTTGACAGACGTTCCTCTATGCCGGCAAGGTTGAGATTGTAGTAAAACTTCTTGGTAGCTACTTCCAGCAGGCCCTTCTCGCCATTGCGGTCGTATGCGAGCTCAAAGGGCCGATCTCCAGTCAAGCGCATCTCATCCGGCACATCGGTTGTGAGGATCTCGGGGTTTTCTTCCTCGTAGAGATACCGGATCTGACTGTCGTCAATGACAGAGTTGCGAAACTTGCGGTATTTTTGTTTGAGCTGTTCCATAATGGGCTGGATAGCAATCTTCAACAAGTTCAAGACATGGCGGTCTCGCTTCTTGAGCGCCTTTAGCTCGTCCTTTGAGGGAGCCGGAATGGGAGGAGCAGCAGGTTCCTCAGCCTCAGCCAGTTCTTCAAACTTGCGCTTCTTGCGGTTGGTATCTGGGAATTCCTTCGGCGATTTGCGAATATAAGTGACGACGTTGCCAAAGTACTCTTTCCGCGCACTCACGTCGGGGCGTTTCAGCTCGAACTGGTTCTTCAGCGAGAAACCAAAGAGATTCCGAACCATCTCCGGGTCTGGTTTGTCATCGTGGCTCAGTTGCTCCATCGTGCCAAGGACAAGAACAGGATCGGTTGCTGGCATGGTGCGAAGCAGGCCGGTGAATGTGGTTATGACCTCTCTGCTTACCGTCGAATACCAGACGTCGACGTTTGGAATGTAAATGACAGAGGGCTTGTGGCGGCGGACCTCTTTGAAGAGCTGCACCAAGGTGGCCTCTGGTGAGCTGCCAGCCTCACCCAACAGGTTTGGCAAGTCGAACGATTGCACGTGCATGCCCTCGAACTTGTGCAGCAGTGCTGCTCCAATGTCTTGCTG